TGCCTGCGTGTGTAAACAAACAACGTGCTCATTTTTTTATTCTCACATGGTCTGCTGGGCGCATTTGCACTTGTTTTCACCTGAACATCATAGTGAGTTCTTTGAGTGGATCTGTCACCATAACTATTTTACTGGATCTGTTAATCCCCACCCCCTACTTTTACCCACAGGTACCTCGGAATTCCGGCTGACTATTAAGGAAGAGGACACAATTCGCGATGCAGGCACTTCTTACGCTTATGCATGTTTATTGGACCAACCAGATATTCTCTCCGGTAGAGTAGACACCAACTGGATCATTGAGACTTCTACAGAGTACATCAAAACTAGTGGATCATTAGCGTGGGTTCAAGAAGAACTTGGGGTTGGCGAGTATTGGTTGACTTGCAAATTTGAAGAAAACGGCCTGAAACTGTCGAAGAGAATGAAGCTTTCTGTCGTCTGTAAGACACTTCGTCTTCATGTGTATCTTGTCTATGACATACTATTCGACCGAATTATCAGTAGCACCAGGATAATGCCGTTTATCCCGTTAAGAGTTAAGAAGTATTAAACCCTAAACCATTTCAATACAGGCGAAGTACTGTTGAATTATATAGATGCAAGTGAATGCGTTGAATTACACTGAGTGCAATTGTCACAAATGGCCTTATGCGGACAGTTACCTCCATTACGATTGGGGGTGATCAGCCGTGCAACTAACCTCTAAATACCGTGGGAGTCGAATTATGGAACCAGTTCTTAACAGGTTGTGAATGATTACGGTTGACTTCACGCAGTTATGAAGCGTGGGATATATCGGTTTTATATTTTGCTATCGCACCCATTACTGCCATTCAAAGATGACTCGCAGTGTCGCAACCACTCTCGTATGGTCGAGAGGCTTCTCTATTTCTTGGGCGCGTAAGATGCTTAATGGAGGATCCAGATGTTGAAGAACGTACGTATTTGCTTCCTCTGAAACTACGTCTCATTGCTTCCGAGGGGTGCGAAATGCTTGTAAACAGCATCTGCTGGCCGCTCGTTTGAGTCATGAAATGGAGTTAGACCGCTCCACGTCAGTTACCCGGGAAACGCCTTTTGCCTACGTTAAACTGAGATGCAATTCCAATTCGTCCATCTCCGTCTCGTTCAAGCTTGAAGACACTCAGCATTAACCGACTAGGACAAAGTCTGTTTTACTTACGGTACAGTTCGGTTTACTGCATATCAATTGAACAACTATGATCCGAGCACCGAAATGCGGTGAATCCATTTGCCACGACTCACATCACAGAGTAACCATAAATAATAGAAACAAGATACTGGGGTTCAGTAGTTAAATAGTGTATCTGGGGTTAAAAAGCATAAATTCACACGACCCACGGGATGGATATGTAAGAGAAAATTAAAAGCACCATGTTCCAATATGGAATATGAATTATCCGTGGTTAAGCCCTTGCATTTTATCATACTTGTGTAGCGTTTATCATTAAGATGAAATTTTAATATTTATTCAAATGTGTTGGTGGTTCATTCCATTGGGAGCGGATTCTGAGAGTAAAATTATTTTCCACAGTCAAACCGGGAGTGTTGCGCCACTAGTTTCAGGTGATGGCCTCGGCTTTGTTTGTAAGAGGTTAAGGCTTATGGTGAATTACATGGATGACCGCTATCTGATGTTACCTTGTAATTGAGAATGAAATCTCTACGAAGCCGTCGGTATTATGTGGAGGACACACCAAGTAAACGAAGTGTTGCAGGATGTTTTACCCCAAAAGCTATGTGTTGATGAAGCTGCTACTCACCGTCAACAAGTGTCACTTTGCAGGGTTCATCGGGAGTTGGTTTCTTTGTGCCCACTCATTAATCCAGTCCAGATCGTACTGGAGATAAACATGGTCGCATGTTGAGCGAATTGCTCTCCATATTCTAGCATCATCATGATCAATATCCTCGCAAGGAGACTGGACCTTAACGTGGTGCGACGGTTTGTGTACCTCATTGACCCATTGAGCTATACTGGGTGATGCCTCCGGACACCTTGAGATCTACTCCAACCAGGTTGGTCAATGGTGAGAGGTCAGACAAACTCAGTCTCCTGGTCCTCCAGGTTGGGAGATTGAAATGGAATGGCGTCCATTTCTGTAAAACTAAATCATTACCACTTCCCCACTGCCTTGCGGACAGCCTTTTGAGCCAAAGGCTTTGGATGAGGACCCTAATCGTCCTCCTGCCTAGGTCCGGGAGCCCTTACCGTATCTCAGCCCACATACAATCAAGACATCCTCTTCAACCATAAACTTCATCCTGCATCGACCGTCGCGCAGCTTATCAAGGGTCGCCTTATCTGCTGCATACAGCAGGGCGGATAAGCGGAAACATGCTGTTGCTCGCGCCTCCCTTCTTCCTTTTCCACCTTTTTCTCTTATTCCCATTCACACTCCCATTACTAACGTTCCTTCTACAATTCCCAGCTTAATTGACAGCAACCGAAGTGCCACTGGAGTAGAACCATCTGCAGCCACCATCCCACCGCACCTATCGGACGCCTATCGGCAAAAGTCCCTTATAAGGCCATGCTATCCCGTTTCCATGGCGACATTCAACGTTCGCACTCTAAGACAAACAGGTCAACAGGCTGCACTCGCATGCACTTTGGACACACTGGGTATTGATGTGTGTTGTGTGTCCGAAACTAGGATCAATGACCCTAACGGGGTTATTGAATTCACTGCATCTGGCTTATCCTCTCCTTATTGGTTGCACGCATCCGGAGACGCCGATGCGGCACTCACGGGTCAAGCTGGTGTAGGTATCATTCTAAGCTCCAACGCAATGCCATCGTCGGTTGATTGGATTCTGGTGAACAGCCGTTTATATGCAGCCCGTTTGACTAGATCAGCTAAGGTTGATTCACGAAGTAATACAAAACGCTGCTTGGTTGTGATTTCCGTTTATGCTCCCACCGAATGCAGTTCAGATGTTGTCAAGGTCACATTCAATTATGAACTGAACACGCTACCATGAAGTGCTAATATAGTTCAGATATTACAGTACTTGCAGGGGATATGAACGCACAAGTAGGGCGTCTGAGCTCCTCAGAAGCTCAGCTGGTCGGTAATTGTGGGCTTAACTCCGAACGGACTGACAACGGCGAGCGTCTGCTGCAACTGTGTGCAGGGCACCAGTTGTTTCTTAGTAGCACTGCCTTTAGACACAGTGGGCGCCGAAGTGCTACTTGGCGTTCTCCTGTGGCTGGCCAGCGATGGACCCAAATTGACCACATAGCCATAAGTTACAGATGGCGTGGTTTCATCCTGGATTGCCGCTCGTACTGGAGTACCTGTGTCAACTCTGATCATGTCCTGGTACGCTGTCGTTTCTCCATGAACCTTACCGGGGGGCGCACCAAGTGCCCCTACGATTGGCAAAGGAGAAGTTGTCTCAGCCTTCGGTCAAGCAAGCCTATCAAGAAGCACTGCATAGCGAACTCTCGCTGTCTTGTTCTAATGACACTGAGCTTCAATGGAATAGAATGTCGGCCGCCATGCACGACGCAGGAGCATCTTCTTGTGGCACTCTCCATCGTCACCGCACCAGTCACTGGAAATCCGAGAGGTCGGTGAACGTGCTGGAATCTAGAAAGCACCTCCCGGCTGGCCCTGAACACAATGTGACCAGACGGGCTATTAGGCGTGAACTAGAGCGGAGTATACGTGCTGACAAGGAAGCCTGGTGGACCAGTATGGCTCAAGAAATGGAGGAGGCATTAGCAGTAGGCAATTACCGCAAGCTCTTCCAGCTAATCCGCACCACTGGTCCCAGAAAACTAGGCGTCAGTGTGACAATCAGCAACAGCGCGTGTGCACTGATACACAATAAGGAGCGCCGTATGGCTCATTGGGCTGAACACTTTCAGGATCAGTTCAGTTGCCCCCCCCCTGTTCCCGGACCTATTCCTACTCAGGTGATGTAGGACGAGCCATGGACGGTTAGGTCAGAACCTCCGTCGGAGGCCGAGGTCCGAAATGCGATGACAGCTTAATCGTTTTCGTGCCGCTGGCCCAGATTCCCTCCCATCTGCACTATTTAAGGTTGAAGGTGAGGTCCTCTGCAAAGCACTGACCTCCGTGTTCGAACGAATCTTGAAGGAATAGTGTGTCCCGGCTAATTGGAACGAATCGATTATAGTGGCAATATACAAGAAGGGCAGTCGCACAGACTGTTCGAACCACAGGGGTATTAGCCTAACCCCAGTTGTGATTAAATTAGTGGCCTCAAATCTAGTTCGTCGCCTCACTTCGGAACGAGCATCTCGGATTGGGGAGGAGCAGGCCGATTTCCGCCCAGAACGTGGCCGTATAGACCATATATTCATTTTGCGGCAGTTGCTGGAGCTGCGTCACGCATACCGCAGACCGACAATAGCTGTGTTCCTTGATTTCAAGGGTGCGTTCGATTCAGTCGATCGATCGATTCTGTTCGAAATACTTGTGCGGAAAGGTGTTCCCATGAAATATGTAAACATCCTTCGTGCTCTATACTCCAACACTACAGGTCGCGTCAGGGTCTACAGTGAACTATAGGATAGCTTTCCGACCACAAGTGACGTTCGTCAGGGATGTCCGATTTCCCCATTTCTTTCACTTTCGTTGTGGCTTCTATCATGAAGTGTTCCCTTGCGAAATCTCACGATGTAGGCGTTGAAGTGCTGCCTGGTGAAAGGTTAGTTGATCCAGATTATGCGGACGATATCGTCTTGCTTTTCGACGATTTTGCGGCGGCACAATCAACCCTGAATAGCCTGTCCAGAGTGGTTCCATTCTTTGGTACGCACTTCGCACCTTCAAAGTGCAAGGTGTTGCTGCAGGACCACCAGCCAATTTATGACCCCTTGACCCTTGCTAACGAGGAACTCGAGGTGGTTAATGATTTCACTTATCTTGGCAGCTGCATCAGCAATGATTGGCGCATAGGAACTGACGTCAGCTCACGCATTGCAAAGGCCAGAGCTACGTTCTTAAACCTGCGTCATCTTTGGCGACAGAAGTGAGTTTCTATCCGTCTGAAAGGCCGTGTATACAAGGCCACAGTGAGGGCCGTTCTGCTCTGTGGGAATGAGACTTGGTTCTTTAGGTATGAAGATCTGAGGCGCCTTCAAGTCATTGAGCATCGTTGTCTGCGAAGCATTGCTAGTGTCGGATGGCACCAGCATGTCCGCAACGATGATATGCGTAGGCGAGTACTAAGTGGTGATAATCATGCTAGCTCCCTAGAACAACAGATAGCGCTGAATAAGTTGCGTTGGCTCGGGCACGTGCTACGTATGCCTTGTCACCGCTTACCTAGGAGGGCCTTGTTTATTCTGCGAGGTGTAGGGTGGCGCAAGGCTCGAGGTGGACAGAAGTTGACTTGGCAGCGGCAAATGAAGTCACTGACTACCAAATTGGGTGCCGTTGGT